GTGACTGCAGGAGCATGTGTGTGCCAGTGTACATCCACAAGTCAGAACAACCTCTGGTGTTTGTCTTTACCTTCTACTTAATTGGAGATGGGGTTTCTTTGTTGTCTTTCCACTGTATATGCCAGGCTAGCTGACCCTAAGCTTCTAGAATTTTCCTATCTCCACCTCCCATCTCCTCATAGGAGTGTGTGCAAATTGCAGACACACTACATGATCAATTTTTGTTTTAAGACTTTTTTTTTTTTTTTTAAGATTTATTTTATGGGGCTGGAGAGATGGCTCAGCAGTTAAGAGCACTCGCTACTCTTCCAGAAGTCCTGAGTTCAATTCCCAGCAACCACATGGTGGCTCACTACCATTTGTAATGGGATCTGATTATCTTCTTCTGGTGTTTATTAAGAGTACTCATATACATAAAAAAATAAATCTTTTAAAAAAAGATTATGTGTATGAGTATTTTGCCTGCATGTGCTCCTTGTATGTACCTGGTGCCCGAGGAAGCCAGAAGAGGGTGGTATGCTGTACATTCCTGGAACTGCTAGCACAGATGATTGTGAACCATTTGTGTGCTGAGAACCAAACCCAGAACTTCTGTAAGAATAAGTGCTCTTAGCTACTGAGCCATCTTTCCAGCCCCTACACATCCAGTTTTTATGTGGGTTTCAGGGAGGATTCGAACTCAGGGCTTTGCACTTGAGCAACAATCACTTTTACCTATCAGGCTGTCTACCCAGCCCTATTTATCCCTTGAACATGGTCTACATTTCTACTACCCCACATCTGCCCCTTATCAACATCTAAAATAATCACTTTGTTCAAAAGTGACAAAGCACCTTCAAGAAGCCTGCCTGAGGCTGGGAGGGACGGAGGCAGGGGAGTGGGGAGGAGCTGGTTGTGGTGGTGATAGATAGTAAATGGGCTAAGTCTCAGCAGGCAGAAACAAGCAAATTTCTGTAAGTTCAAGGCCAGCCAGGTCTACACAATGAGACCCTTCTAAAAAAGGTGGGGGGGAGGGAGAAGGGGTGTCACATGGAATCTGGCAGGGTAGAGGTATTCTGTTGTGACTACTGGGACACACATCCATGACTCACTCTGTAAGACACTGGTGGTGGGAACAGAGGAGTAGGAAAGACTACTTCCAGAAATGGATGGAGGAACAGGCCAGAGCCTGACTGACAAAACAACATCTTTGTTTCAACAAGGAAGACACTCCTGCTCCATTCTCTGTTCCTCCTCCTGAAGGGGCCAAGATCTTACCTGGCTCCAGTCCCCTGGGTCCTCCTCACTCTGGTATGATGCAAGCACCCAACATGGGAGACCCCCCATCCTGCCAGTAGTGGCCCCTCCTCCTGGGGTGATACTTGTGGGACCTGTTCCTACAATGAGGCCACCCATGGGAGACCACATGCCCTTGATGTCCAGGCCTCTAGTGATGAGATGGTACTCACCCGGCATGGCATGACACAGACAGACAGGTAAGTACAGGGGTCATCAGTTCTGTGCTTTTTCTGTTTCAGTGGGAGACCATGGTGCTACACCTGAGTATTTTATAGTGATATGACAAGCAAGACTTCTTCCAATATCTAGCATAGGGAATAGTTTTGGTTAGGAGAAGAGGGATTTTTTTTTAAGTAGTTTCATTTGCATCATGAACTGTAAAAATATAATTAGCTTTTAGTTTAAAGGAAAAAAAAAGTCTGGCAGAAAGAATGAATTTCTTCTGTCCACAGTTTCTTACTTCTGCTTATAAATAATATAACACCCTTACATCATATATCTATGTATGTTCCCTTTTCTTAAAGATGGATGGGCTGGTGAGGTGGCTCGGCAGGAAAGGACACTGCTGCCATGTCAGGCCATCTGAACTTGAGTCCCCCAAAACCATTAATCCCAGCACTCAGGAGACAGATGCAGTGGATCCTGTGAGTTCCAGGCCAGCCTGGTCTACATAGTGAGTTCCAGGCCAGCCAAGACTACATAATGAGACCCTGGCTCAGAAACAAAAGCAGTTCTATACGGTTTAAGAAGAGAAGGGATTCAGTGTGATCTTCTGACCTATGCACACAATAAATAAATATATGTAATAAAAACTTTAAATAATAGGCATTCTCCACTTAAAAATCATTCCCGCATTATGTTTTTATAAGAATTAGAGACATTTGGGGCTCAAGAGATATTTAAGTGATTAAAAGCATGTGCTGCTCTTTCAGAGGACCTGAGTTCCAACCCTAGCAACCCACATCAGGCAAATCACAATTACCTGTAGTTCTGTTCCAAGGAATCCACCACCTCTAGCCTCTCCAGGAACCTGCATTCATGTGCACAGGTATACATAAATACATACAATTCAAGACGCCCTGTGTTCCCTCCAGGGCATGAGTACTTTGGGCCACTCTGACACTACTTTACCACAAGTGACTCAGACATTACTTCTCCCGTTGCATGAGCCAATTCCAATCAAGTTCTGTAAAGTAATTGCACTTTTCTTTCTTCTATCCAAAGACTGTAAGAAAAATTAGGTAGTGGTGCTTGCGTTTGATCCCAGTACTGGGAGCCACGGGCAGGTGGATCTCAGTTCAAGGCCAGCCTGGTCTATAGAGTAAGCTCCAGGATAGCCAGGGCTACATAAAGACCTGTCTTAAAAAAGATAAAATAAGTGTAATAAATAAAAGCATAAGTATTTTTAGTAGCAAGTTAAAATTTAACAGGAACTTTAAATAGTGTGATTTTAGGCTGTTTAGGCAGCTTAAACTAAACTATCTCGAAAAACAAGAAAGTAGGCATCTTAAATTTGCCTTCTTTATCTGTGTGGCTTTGAATGTAAGAGGTCAACATCAAGCATCCTCCTCAGCGCCACGCCCATTTGTGTGTAAATGGGCGCTTGTGTGCTGTGGAGGCTAGAATTGATTTCGGGTGTCCTGCTTTATCACTCTCCAGCTTTTTCTTTAAAAAAAAAAAAAAAGTGATTGTGTAGGCCAAGGAAGTAAGTTGCCACAATTAATTCTCTCTTTCTACCATGTGGGTTCCAGGAACTTCACTTAGATTGTCAGGCTTAACAGCAAGTGCCTTCACCTGCTAAGCTATCCCGCTGGCCCTCCACCCTATTTTTAAATTCTAGCATAAGGTCTCATGGAACCCAGAGCTCACTAATTGGCTAGGTTGGCCGACTGGCCAGTGAAATCTAGGCATCTGCCTTTCTCCTCACAAGTGTTGGGTTCCAAACATGCCTGTCGTTTACCTAGGGGCTAGGATCCAGCTCAGGCCTTCCCACTCTCACAGCAAGCATTTTACTTAGGGAGTCACCTCCCTAGGCCATCCACTTTGTCTTTTAAAGATGTATTGATGTTTATGTGTATGAGTGTTCTGCCTGGACGTATATAAGTGCACTGTGTGAGTAGCTGGTGCCCATGAAGACCAGAAGGTGCTAGATCTGGAACTGGAGTGACAGACTGAAGTAAGCTACCACATGGGTCTTAAGCAGAATCAATATAGTGGTTGTTAGCCACATGTGGCCACTTTAACCATTTGAAATGTGGCTAGTTGCAACTAAAATGTTGTAAATGTAAAGTGCACATCATATTTTAAAGACTTTGTGAAGGAGCTGGAGAGATGGCTCAGCAGTTAAATGCACTGGCTACTCTTTCAGAGGACCCAGGTTCAATTCCCGGCACCCTCATAGCAGCTCATCACTCTCTGTAACTCCAGCATCAAAAGTTTCAACACCTTCACAAAGATACACATGCAGGCAAAACACCAATGCACATAAAATAAAAGACTTTGTGAAAGCAATACATTGTATGATAATTACATAAATGATAGATAATACCTTGAATACACTTCAGTTATCCTACCCCCAAAAAAAAAAAAATCACAGGAACCAGATGGCCAGATAGCTCAATTAGGGCCTGGTTCTGATTCTCCAGCACCCATGAAAAAGCTGGGCATGGCCCCCTATTTCTGTAACCCAAGCACTGGAGCAAATACAAGCAGATCTCTGGAGTTCCTGGCTGCTCTAGCCAGTCAGTGAGACTGGATTCCAGGTACAGTGAGAGGCTCTGTCTGGAAGGATACGTAGAGTGATAGTGCAAGGTACCAGTATAGAGCCCTAGCCTTCATATGCTCTCATATGCCCTAAACACACATACACAGAGGCCACAGCACGGGGTGGCTGTAGATGCTTGTAAGTCTAGCACTTGGGAAGTGGAAGGAGGATCAACTACACAGTGAGTTCAAAGCCAGTCTGGGCTACAAGAGATCCTATCTCAAAACTCGAGTGGGGGGACGGGAGAGATGGCTCAGAGGTTAAGACCACCTAATAATGCTCTTGCGGAGGACCTGGTTTCCAGCACCTACGTGATGGCCTATAACCGTTCCAACCACCAGTGCACAAGCAGGCACCACACCCATACACATAAAATAAAAATAAATCTTTTTAGTTAATTTCACCTGTCATGTTGCCCTCTAATAGTTTTCATGAGACAGTCTGATGTATACTTCGTTCCATTTGATAAATATACTCTCAACCATAGAGTCGACTGCTTTAATGTGTTTACCCCAGTTAATTAATCCTTTATCTCACCAACCACCTCATCCTAACGGAAACATGGCAATCACGCTCTCGCTCTCTTTAAACAACGGTCTCACCACACTGCCCTGGCTGGTTTGGTTGTCCTGAAACTTGTTATATACAACAGGCTGGCTTCGAACTCACACAGCTCCCTGCCTCCCCAGTGCACAGATTAAAGGCGTGCACTACTACGCCTGGTGCAACCCATCAAAGTCCGAGAGGAAGAAAACTCGAAACACAGATAAGTCTTGAGGGGGAAAAAAATCAATATTTTCACCGGTATGTGTCCCTAAAACAAAGGGCGCAACAGAGCGAGCTCCACGGCTCAGAAGATTGGCTGAGCAGCCAAAGACCTGCTACTGAGCAGCACCCGAGGCTGGGGGCGGGTCTGAGGCTGGGAGGAGGGCAGAGCTGCTCGGCGGAACAACTGTACCTTGAGAATTCCCCTCATCTTCGCCAGGAAGGGGCGGAATTCCTCCAGGGGCACTTCCGGATAGAGTTGGTTGTGCAGCAGCTCCTCAGTGATGCCCGAGTGTCCGTGGAAGGAGTTCTGCGCTAGGCCGCTCAGCAGCCCGCTCAGGGACTTGCACCCCTCCAGATCGCCCGCCATTGCCAGGGAGAGCCTGCCGCCCAGCGACTGATCTCCGGTCCGCTACGGGGGCCGAGAAGGACCGTAAAACCTGGCAAAGGCAGCCACCGAACGCGATGCCGGGTTCCTCCACTAGTCGATATAAACAGTTCTCACGTTTACCCTGCCACACACACCCACTACTTCCACCACAGCCAAATCCACTCAGTTTCCTTTAGGGTCACTGTGCTTTTGCTGTTTCCGTTTTCACTCCGATGCGCACGCAAAGGAAAAAATCGCTGGCTAGAGATACATAGCTGTAACTCCATAAGAACGCCATTTTAACACTCCCATTCTGCTTTTATATTATTCTAGGTGCATACAGAGAATATGGTCAGTTCTAAGGCATGAACAAAGTAGTCAAGGAACACACAAGGCATAAACAGAGTAGTTAAGGAACAAACAAAGGTCCCATGATTACTGTATTCAGGGTTTTAAGACCCATCACGATATAAAAAAATACATTCCTCAGGGGTATTCATCTTGAGCCTACTTCCTTGTCCTAGCCTAATGTCAAAGTCCTGCCAAATTCCTAGAAGGCAGGCCCCAAAATCTCTCCACATGTGTGTTGTATAAACTTTACACAGGTGCATATACTGTTACACGAAATTTAAGTTGACACAAGTGTGTAATAGCCTGAACTCCAGGAAAAAGCACTTGCTATTGTCAGCATGGTGTTTCTAAATGTGAATAAAGCTGGGCAAATGTTACAAAAAGGAAAACATTCTTTCCTCAGTTTACACTCAGTCACTGCAAGCCAGAGATCTGTTCTGTGTATCAAAACCAAGCTAAAAATATGTGTGTAGGAGGCTGGAAAGATTGTTCATTGGTTAAGAGCACTTGTTGCTCTTGCAGAGGACACAGGTTCAGTTCCCAGTACCCACATGGTGTCTCACAAACCACGTGTAACTCCTGTTTCAGGAACCCAATGCCATCTTTTGACTTCTTTGGGCACCAAGCACACGTGTGGTGTGTGTGTGTGTGTGTGTGTGTGTGTGTGTGTGTGTGTGTGTCTGCCTGCCTGCCTGTCTGTCCACATGCTACAGCATACATGTGAAGGCTGAAAAACAAATTACAAGAATGGATTCTCTTCTACCATGTGGATCTCAGAGACTGAACTCAGGGGTCAGGCTAGGTGGCAAGTGCCTTTACCCAATGAGCCATCTCTCTGGCTCCATTTCTTTATATTAAAGATTTGTTTATTCATTTTATTTAATGAGTATGTACCTGAGTGTACTCCATCTACAGGCAGGTACCTAAGGAAGTCAGAAGAGGATACTGAATCTCCTGGAACCACAATTACATGAAGATTCACTGTAAGTCACTGGATGTAGGTGCTGGAAATTGAACCCGGGTGCTCTGTAAGAGCAGTAAACACACTTAAGCCCTCAGTTGTCTCTCCAACCAGTACCCATTTCTTAACTTTAGAGTGAATACTCATGAAGACATATTTTGGCTGATAGACTTTTGGCACCTACTCTTTTTTAATTGCTTTAAATCAAAATAATTCTTATGCCAAAGTGGCACGTGGCTGGCGCAATACTCTGTCAAGTACCACTGGACAGAGAACCTTGTCGGCCTGGTCTACCTCAATTCCAAATCACCAGGTTGATCAATAAAAGAAATTCATTTTTCTGCCACCAGGGGCTGCTATTGTCACAGCTGCAGGTTAGCACCAGCTGCAGTTTACAATGCTTTTCAAACAAAAGGCTCAAAATACAGTTATCTTTTATTAAATTTCAAATCGCAGGTTTTTATAGATAACAAACCTGGGCAAACGCTAAGAGAATGTTCTAATGCAACAACAAGGAAAAGACCCAGAAGCTCAGCCCCAAGAGAACCAACATCTAACAAACAGCCCTCCTTCCATACAGGTTTCCCTCTAATCATGGCCAAATATCCCAGCAAGCAAATGGTTCCAGGCAGGAAGTAATATTTTTGTAAACATTAAAAATGTAAACTGAGCCGGGGGGGTGGTGGCGCACACCTTTAATCCCAGCACTTGGGAGGCAGAGGCAGGCGGATTTTTGAGTTTGAGGCCAGCTTGGTCTACAGAGTGAGTTCCAGGACAGCCAGGACTATACAGAGAAACCCTGTCTCGAAAAAAACTAACAAACAAAAAAATGTAAACTGTGCCAAGCAGTGGTGCCACACACCCAGGGATTTCTGAGTGTTTTGCCTACATGTATGCATGTGCACAATATATGTGCAGTGCCTGTGGAGGTCAGAAGAGGGTGTCAGATCCCTGGAGCTGGATTACAGGTGATTGTAATCAATCTATGTGGGTGCTGGGAATCAAACCTGGGTCCTTTGTCAGAGCAACAAGTGTTCTAAACTGTATTCTAAAGTGTTCATTTTTCCAGTTCCCAGTTCATTTTTTTAACCCTTGAGTGTGTTGTGTTGTGGGGGGGGGGGGGAGCAGGGGTGTAAAAGGCGTGCACCACTAACTGCCCAGCTTTGGATAGAACTTTTCAACAAAGACAGATAAATAAAACATATAAATTTAAGTCTTACATGACATAGAAGATTTCAGGAGGAAATGAAGAACCAAAAAAAAAAAAAAGTTTGAGCCAGACAATCATCTGTTAATGAGACAAATAATAAAGTGACTTATGACAAAGGGGCTTGAACTAATTACCCCCTGGCCCCTTTTTGGTAAGAACATAGATGGTTTAAGGTCATGTTTTTGGCGTGAAAGCAATTCAGCTTACATTACAAGAAATGAAAGCAGGTGCTGAATCATGAAAGCCCCCCAATCAGTGATTTTTAGCATGCCTCCTAATTTTTCTGTCCCCTGATTTCTTGTCTTCAGTGCCTAAATCTGAACAGGTAACCACTTCAGGGGATGCCAGCAACAGATGGGCCATGAAGGAAATGTCAACAAAGAGAAGAAAGCAATGCAGACAGTCCACACAAGCTGTTGTCATGGAACCGTAGATAAACTCAACTATTGCAGAAAAAAAAAAATTCCCTGAAACATCAGTGCATGAGGTTCTGCCCCTGTAATGCATCTGGGTAGGCAGTGAACTCAGATCTCCAGCATGATTGGCAGAGATTGGCACGTACCTCTTTCATTCGGCTTCCCTATCCCTGAGAAGAGGCATGTCTTCCTGCAGGCACAGTGAAGGCCCCTTTCAGATCGTAGTTTTGTCTCCTGCTTTTAGGGGCAGGAGAAGTCAGAGTACTTGTGTTAATTACTTCTCTGTTGCTATGATAAAACACCATGACCACCATGACCATGCCAGGTGGTGGTGGCACAGGCCTTTAATCCCAGCACTTGGGAGGCAGAGTCAGATGGATCAATGTGAGTTTGAGGTCAGCCTGGTCTACAAAGAGTTAGCTCCGGGACAGTCAAGGCTACACAGAGAAACCTTATCTCAAAAGAATAAAAACAAAAGCAAACAAATGCACCATGAGGAAGGCAATTTATAGAGGGAAGGATTCTTTGGGAGGTTTATGGCTCCAGGACTGTGTCATCACTGGCACAGCAGGGAATCCTGGCAGCAGGTAGGCATGAAGAAGGAACAGCTCACATCTCAAATTGTGAACAGGAAGCAGAGCACACACTGGGACTGGCTGGCAGCTTTTGCAACAAACTCTGCCTCCGGTGATATACTTACTGCTGCAAGGTTACACTTCCTAAGCTTCTCCAATCAGAGCTACCCACTGGGGACCAAGTATTTGAATGTCTGAAACCAGGGGAGACATCTCAAACCACCACAGTATCAGTACCTGTTGTCTTCATATAAAGCAGTTCTCTCAACAACCATAGAATATTTATGTGCTGTGAGGGAGGGGTAAACTGGTCTTTGAAAAAGATGTGTCCCTCCAGGGGGAGGCTGGAAAACTTTATCTTAGTCCTAAAAGCCTGAGTGCATGTAAAAGCTCCTCATGATCACAGGACTAAGCCCATGAAACAATTGTTCCTTAACCTACTGCAGGCATCTGGCACCTTGTGGGCTCTCAATGATTAACAGTGAAATACTAGTGAATGAGTATTGCCTATATACACTTCCTCAGTCAAAGATAGTGGTATAGAAATCTTTTGAGTTCACCTAAAGACAGAGTTCTGGCTCTGGACTGGCTTCCACCGCCTTACTGGTTGACCATGGGCTTTAGCTTCATCATCCATGAAGTCAAGACAATGGCATTTATTTCATGGGATTATAAGGATTAAGTAAGGTGTAAAGGGTGTAAAGACTTCACACTTTGTTCAGCAGATAACTACCAATCAGTTATTAGAATGTTTATGTTCCCTAAGAGTCAGTGGCTATGCTTACGGAAAAGGTCTTAACTAGAAGGCAGACTGGATTTGACAAGCAGTCACCGCTCCATAACTATTAAGATACTGTGTCATTTAACCAATGTATTTAAATCCCTAGGCAGCCAAAATATATACAAAAGGGAGGAAACCATTCATGGCAAATCTCTCCTCCAACAGCTCTACAAAGTGAATAAACTAGGAATAGAATTTAGACATAGATGTCCGCAAAAGCCCGGCTGCGCCACACCCACTTCGGAACAAAGCCAGAGCTGTCATGGCTTCATCAACTGGACTAGCAGGAGCCAGAGGTTCCGGTCCACATTGAGTGGCTCCAGCCACGCCTACAAAACCTCCCGCTCCATCTCAGCACCCAGGCACAGGGCCGGGTTGACGATCTGCAAGCCGGATCTCCGCGCGCAGGCTGTGCAGCCGGCGTGCGGTGGACAGCCCCTGACGTCACATCTGCGCCGGCTCGCCCTAGGGCCCCTTTCTCGACTTCCGCCTTCTCTGCCGGCGTCGCTTTCTGGAAGGTTCGTGGAGGAGGCGGCTTGAGAGACCGTTACTCCACAGCAGGCCGGAATCCGTGTCCATCGGTCCTCCTGAACCCGCGCAGAAGCCACCAAGGTCGCCATGCCGGAGAACGTAGCTACCCGAAGCGGGGCGCCCGCCGCAGGGCCGGGCAACCGCGGGAAAGGCGCCTACCAGGACCGCGACAAGCCGGCCCAGATCCGCTTCAGCAACATTTCCGCGGCCAAAGGTATCATCCTTTCGCCGGCCCGCCTCGCGGCGGTACGGTCCAGCCTCTCACTGTGACCTTGGCCCTGGATGGGCTGTGTTCCTCCAAGGTG